GGCAGGAGTTAGAATTCATGGACCATTGGATCGGGTCCCAGTGGCTTAATGGTATATGAGCTCGCCTTGTAACCAGAAGGCCCTGGGTTCGAATCCCAGTGGGTGCGTACTGATGAAGAGTCCCAAACTAGGACGAAACAGCTGTCCAGTACTGCCAGGTTTTCCAATGGTTCTCTAACTGATGTCAGCTCATGATGAAATCCTGTAACTAAATACAGTTATTGTTTTCATTGAATTAACCATCTTTTTCCACATTCTAATTATTTGTGTTAAAAAAAACTTTCATTAGGATAGAGCTGTCTTATATCTATGAATTATTCTCACAAAATAAATAATTATTGGCCTCCTGTTTCTATACGCTATTAAAAGTTGAATCTGAACAATACATATACAGGAGACAGAGCTTGCTATTGCCTTGTGTGCGTCGGTGGCACATGCACATGGTCCGGGGTTCGATCGCCTGCCGGCGCACACCCGATATCTATGGTCGGCCTGAATTTGGGCTACCGATATCCATGCTGAAAATTCCACACTTGTACTGAAAATACGGTGTGGAATCAAGCTGTAAATCAAAATAAAAATAAAAAATTGTTCAAATACCATAAGGGTAATCATATGTATGAGTTGAACTGCCTTTAAAAAACTTCTTCCCCCCTTATGTAAGTGTAGAACTTGAGCACTGTAGTGGTAGAATGTAATTCCATATTAGAAAAGTTTATTGTAAATATTACACATAGTGATAATGCAGTATTAACAACTGCATGACAAGGTTTCGAGCATAAATCATTGCTCGTAATCACATCAGTTGAGTCACACGGTTTCATATTTTGTCTCATATATATATATATATATATATATATATATACCCTTTACCCCTTGTTGTTTGTTGCCACTTTCCATATCTCCAGTATAGGCGTTGTGTCATCATTCTGATTGCACGTTCGCTTTGTTGAGTCGATAAACAAAGATTCATTGATTAACCTCTCTGTCTCTCTACCTAGCTATACTACTTTGTATTGCTTTCACCTAGTCCGACCGTATTGTGTAATTCCGTGCAAGTGAGTGCAGTACAATGGCTGACCTTTCTTCTAGGTTACTTAACCTAGCAGGGTCAATCATTCTAGGTCTAGCTAAATTTTTATGTCCTAATAATCTAATTGACTCCGACCCACTAGTTTAACCCATGTAGGTGACCCCACTCATAGTCATTACACGATATTTGGTTAATTATATTATTTTTCTTAATTGGATCTGACAGGTCCTTAAGGCGACATAGTTTATCTCTTAGAGAGTTGGTTGTTTGGCGTAAATGCCACCCTAATTCCAGCCTTATTGCGAATTCTGCCTAAGTCTTTTCCCTGACCTTGTGCGATTACAAAATATCTCGGTGAAATGTGAGACACTGGTGGTGATTAATCATAATAGATTTGTAGAGTGTGGGGTAGGAAAATTGCTTTTTATTACAATTATTATTATTCGTCATAATTTATGCCTTCATGAAAACATTCTCTCAATACTATCGAATTTTCCATTTATACTATCAGGACTTATTATTGGTGATATTATCCCTTTTTTCAATATATGCCTCCACCTGTCTCATTTCACACATTCGTTACTTCATTATGAACCTCTCATAATAGTCTGTCTCCTGTTTAATAGAGACCACTTTGTACTAGTCACTCACTCACCTGACACCTTTTATAACCTTGAACTGACTTGTCAGTTTTTCCTACCCCACACTCTACAAATCTATTATGACTAATCACCACCATTGTCTCCCATTTCACAATATTTTGTAATCGATTTCAGCCAAATAGCACGTTTGTCACACAAATACGATTATTTATTTTGATACCGCATAACTAATCTGTTATTCTACATAAAAGAAAATGTATCCGCCGCATAACTGGCTGTCATTAATATAACGACAAGAAATATTATATTTTATAATTATGTGAGAACCTGAAGAGGAGAAATTATTGAAAAGAATATTTTCTAAAGTCTGGTTTGTAGGGGTTTGTTATTATTTTACGAGTTGACCACGGACTGATATCAGTTAGAGAACCATTGAAAACCAGGGAGTACTGGACAGCTACTGTTTCATACTAGTTTGGGAATCATCGGCAGTACGCACCCACTGGGATTCGAACCCAGGACCTTTCGGTTACAAGGCAAGCTCATATACCATTCAGCCATTGGGACCCGATTCAACGGCTCATGAATTCTAACTTCTACCAATTCGTGATTTAGCGCGTAGAAGTTAGAATTCATGAGCCGTTGAATCAGGTCCCAATGGCTGAATGGTATATGAGCTTGCCTTGTAACCGAAAGGTCCTGGGTTCGAATCCCAGTGGGTGCGTACTGCCGATGATTCCCAAACTAGTATGAAACAGTAGCTGTCCAGTACTCCCTGGTTTTCAATGGTTCTCTAACTGATATCAGTCCGTGATCAACTCGTGAAAAGAATATTCTTCGTTCAGATTGACTTTTAATGATGAGTAGTAAGAAGAATAGGATGACTGAGAAGAATTATACAAACAAGTGAGTTCAGATGATCTGTGATCAAGATTTGACCGTATATTTGCAAAATAATTGGGCGCCGAGTGAAAAGTAGACATTCGTAAAATCTCAGCGAAATTGAAATAATTAATTCCAACGTTTATTGCGTTCGGCAAACTAGTCCGTATTTCTTCAGGGAAATTAATCGTAATTAACATAACAGAGGTTTACATGTAAAAGGGCATCTCTTTTGTTTTTAAAAACTTTGTCCAATAATATGAGTCATGAGACAGATATCAACGTGTATAATAAACAAAATTGTATGAGGTGTGATCATAATTTGACCTCAGACTATCACTTATATTAGAATAAGGCATTTAGAAGACAAATTTCGCGAGATGATATCATTTCATAGGTTTTTTACCACCGTTTTACAACTAACATGGTTAACAATAATAAAATAAAATAAAGGGCATGACAATTACTCAGTTATATAAAACAAAACAAAAGTACGTACTAATTACCAATCATATTTATATAGGTCATTTTGTCCATGGTAGGCGAAGATTGAAGTCTGTTGTTTTTTGTACACACAGTTTAGACTGTATGTGATTAATCCCCAAAAGTGCTTCCATCTATCACCTTCAATAACCAACCTTGAATTGGAGTTATGTGATAAAATAATTGTGAAACAGTCATTAAAGTGATTTTGTGACCTGATAATTATAAGTGGTTTGCAATGGATAATGCAGGATTTCTATTCAGATTAATCGCGTTGGGATTTTTTCTATATGATTTAGTAGCCATCTTGGAACATGTCCTTTTCTACGACATTGGAACATTCTGTTGGTTCTACGTATTCTATGGACTCTACTTCAAACTGTATCTACAAGTCCACTTGAAGTTGTGGTGACACCTATATAGGTAGAACCAACAGAATGCTCCAATGTCGTAGAAAAGAACATGTTCCAAAATGGCTACTAAATCATATAGAAAAAATCCCAACGCGATTAATCTGAATAGAAATCCAGCATCATCCATTGCAAACCACTTATAATTATCAGGTCACAAAATCACTTTAATGACTGTTTCACAATTATTTTATCACATAACTCCAATTCAAGGTTGGTTATTGAAGGTGATAGATGGAAGCACTTTTGGGGATTAATCACATACAGTCTAAACTGTGTGTACAAAAAACAATAGACTTCAATCTCAGTAAATGAAATATCCCCATATTGAAATCAAAACAAGATTTTGAGCGAACAATTGTTTTCGATAACTTCTTCCTCAGGCTCTACAGTTATAAATCCATGTATAATAGACTTCAATCTTCGCCCATCATGGACTACTTGATTCATTTAAATATAACTGGTTCATTATTAAGTATCTACCTTTGTTTTATATAACTGAGTAATTGTCATGCCCTTTATTTTATTTTATTACTGTTGTAACCAGGCGTGAGGCTAGCAACCCCACCCTGTAAACAAACCTGCTACAGAAACTTCAGCACGATGTATCTCCTTGAGACAAAAGAAAAAGTCTTTGTGGGGACATGGAATGTCCGTACTATGTACGAGATTGGCAAAGCTGCCCAGATTGACTGGATAATGCGACAAACAGTGGGCAATGAGGAAACAGGCATAAAATGCACTCACACAAAAAACTTGGAGGATCTGGACTTCGCCGATGATATATGTCTGATTTCCCACAAACTGGAGGATATGTAGGTGAAAAGCAACAAGTTAGCAGAAGAAGCATCAAAGATAGGACTTCAGGTGAACATAGATAAAACAGAGGTGATGAAAATTCCTGGGCAACACCACCAACAGCAACAACAACAACTGACAACAATCAGCATAAATGGGAGGAACCTGAAAGAAACAACCTCCTTCACCCATCGACCTGAGGAGCATCGTTTCAACTACAGGCGGAACTGACGAGGATATCAAAGCAAGGATTGGGAAAGCAAGACAAACTTTAATTACTCTCAAGTCTGTGTGGAGGTCAAGAACACTCAGCATCAAAAATAAGATCCGGATTTTCAACTCCAATGTGAAGTCAGTGCTACTATACGGATCAGAGACTTGCACTGCGCGTCATAAAGAGCATCTCAAACAAACTACAGACCTTCATTAACAGTTGTTTTCGCTCAATACTCAAGATCAGATGGCCAGAAATTCGACAATGAACTTGTCTGATCAAATAAAAGCCGCAGTTCATAAATGTGATAGAAAAACAAGTCAACTTTGCTAGACAATCGACAGGAAGTCCTGGTTGGTTGTTCGTACCTGATAGAATTCAGACCAGCACTGACACTAAGAACTGAGGATACATAACAATATTGGCTATATCCTAGTGACTGATCAAGGTAAAGGTGAGCTTCATAACCTTCATTAAATTTATTAAAAGTATTTTAAAAAAATACATTTCATGTATTTATTATTTCTCCTCCCACTGTAATATTGATTTTGTATTCTTCATTATATTCAACTCTAAAGAAAATTGCCAAGAAATTGTCAAATCTTGCTATTCTCAGCCACTTATGAAGACTCTGTCATTGAATTCGCTCATGACTTTGTCCCTAATCCAATAGAATTTCGTATAAAGCGTAGTCAACTCCCGTTGAAGAATATTAAACAGTTTTATATGTGTTTTAATGATTGGATTGAAAAGTATCAAGCATTGAAAGATATTTATGGTGGATTTGCAGTTGGTCAAGCCATTATATTTTGTGCTGTAAGTGTTTTCTGTTGTACTTGTATTTGTGTATTTGTTTTCACTTTATATGTTGTGTATGTCCAAACCAAGTTGACTTTTAACAGTTTTAGAAAAGAAAAGGCGTTCAGCAAAGAGTTACTCTTTGCTGTACAAATCGCAAATTTATAGTAATTTATCTTGGCAACAAAAGGAATATTTCCAAAGATGTGTTAATGCAATTGTTAATTTTTGACAACAAATTACGTAATTTAGAAGGCGTTAATCGGTTAGAAACTAAAATAAAGTTACAAAAGTAGGTTGGGTGACGTAATCTAATTGCTAGGGTTCAATGAAAAATGAATGAGAGTCAAGTTAATAATCTGAGTAGAATTCACTTAAAAATAAACGAAAATGGAGTTAGCAACAGTCGTCATGAGGGTAGGGATTTAATAGAGGGTGGGGGTAGAAAATACTGCAATTAAGAAACAGACAAACAAAGAAGAAAGAGGTAAGACAAAATTACGTATTTGGTGTTAGGATAGATCAGGACCATTGTAGATTTAGTGACTGAACAAACTTCTTTTGTATGCAGAGTTCAGGATTCAATATGTGAATTGCCATTGCTTCTGCAGTTTGAAGAAGTTTAATTCGTACTCCTTTGGCAAGACTCCCACGTATTGTGCAGATAACTGAGAAGTTGTTTTGTGGGTTTTGCTTGGTGTCCGGACTCGATCCAGTGTTCTAGGATAGAGCTGTGGCGGGGGGATCTTCTTTCTCCTTTATAAAACCATGAAGGTAAGTGTTCGCTGATTCGTTTGGATAGCAAACGCTGGGCACGGTCAACATACCTAGCTCCACATGAGCAGGTGAATTGGTAGATGCACATTGATGAGGCCCCCAGTGGAAGCTTATCCTTCACGTTCGTGCGAATCATTGGTTTCGTAGAGAAAGTTAGTCTGAGTTCAGCTGCGAAGAAGGTTTTCTTCAGTGAACGGCACAGGCGGTTTCTCGGTATTTCTGATGAAGAATCTCCGTTGAATTGTAGATTCAAATTTTAACAGTTTGAAAAAATTTGCGCATCGGGTATATGACATTCATTATAATGAAGAGGGTTTTTTTATTCTGTATTTTCTAATGAATAAATGAAAAACAAAACGATATCGTTGTTTTTTACTGAAGTTTCGCTATTCATTAATGCTGCTGCCAATAGCTTCATCAAGGCAGTATTATTAAACCTGAATTTACAAAAACCACTCAGCTTATACATATGTAACAACGTAATCATCGTTCCTCAGCATGGGGTCATCTTCTCGTTGTCAAGTTGATAACGGATGAGAAAGAACATTACTGAGACTCTCAAGCAAAACAACTACCCAAAGAACTTCATCAACAAAATCAACACTGACATTAAGTATAGTCGAAAACACGTATTCCAAAAACAGGGACGGACCTCAACAGTTGTCATTCCATATAGAATGGAGACATCAGATGATATCAGAAGATCACTCAATAAGCACAACATCAGAGTTTTCTTCGAAATATCAGGCATATGCACTACAAAGCTACCTTGTCCGTATAAAAGACCAAATCCTCAAAGATTCTCTATCTAATTGTGTCTATAAAATAAAATGCTTGGAATGTGATGCGATATAGATCGGACAAACCTCCCCAGAAAGAAATCAAATTCAGAAGAAATGAACACCGTAGAGCATCTATTTGGCCACCGAGATTTCCGGTTGAAATAGATGTTAATCGCGACAGATAGATAGACTGTATGATAAGCAGCCAATCAATATTATGTGACCTCTTTGTCGCGATTATTGGCCAATTAATGTAACTCACACCACGTGATGGTGACCTTGAATGTTCTTTTTTGTCTGTCACTCTACTTGTGTATACATGTAATTAATTGACTGTTCATTTTGTCCGTACCCTCAATACTGTTCGGTACGTTTTTGTCCTATTTTTGTAATGACAGTGGATTTGTACATTTTTCTTGGTGTAATTGTATGGTTTATTTTATGTTTTAGAAACAGATAAAGTTTAAGCCAAGTCATTCTGTTTTAACTATAGTTAAGCCCAGACTCTGTGTCGTCAGTATTGAGGAAGGACTAAATCTGTAGGACAAAAATAATCCTACAAAGTTTCGAGCAGTATCCCAGACGAAAGTTTCGAACAGTATTCCAGACGAAAGTTTCGAACAATATGGCAGACAAAAGTTATGAAACTATGCCGTCGTTAACTCCACAGTTAGAAAAGAGTAATGAAGCTGATTTCCCTGAAAGCAACGAGAATAAATCACGCTATATGATAGAATTGGAGCTAGCGAAATTGCGCATAGTCCAAAAAGAGAAAGAAATGGAATTAGAAAGATTACGACAAGGTAGTCGCGAATGTTCTTGTCACAATAAATCGCCTTACAAACCTTCTACTTCTCATAAAGTCTCTGTATCTCTTAACGATGAGTTCGCCAGAGGCATATCTAAGTTTCTGGACATGCTTAAAAGATATCAGTATTTTAAGATGGATGCCGATGAACTTGAGTGTTGGATCAATGAAAAACTGCAAAGCTATGCAAATGAGAATTTTTAAGAACTCAGTAATCTCCAGCTGAAAAAACAGAAACACCAAGAGTTTGAGTTCGAAGTAACAGTTCATGCTGAAACACTGTCAGCTCTGGATTCTGCGGGAGAAGAAATGATTGGTCAGGGGTACCACGCAACAGATATTATCAAAAACCGTCTTGATGAATTGCATGCCCTGTGGGAAAGGTTTATGGCTATTTTCAGAGAAAGATCACGTCTTATTAATCTAACGCTTAAATTTGTCCAGTTTTTACGCCAAGTCGACGAGATACTTTTCTGGATACGTGAAAACGAAACTTTCGTAACATCAGAGGATTTAGGTCAAGACTTGGAAGATGTTGAGACACTTCAAAAAGGGTTTAATGAGTTTACAAAGGATCTCGAGTATCAAGAAAGTCGTGCCGAAGACATCTATCGGAAGGCAGATGAATTTCTAAAAGAGGAATTTCCTGAGGATGCCCTAGTCATAGAAAAGTCCAGAGAGGTCCGAAAAGCTCTAGAACGTCTGAAGGATCTGGCTAGAAAACGACAAGAAAAGCTCCTGGAAGCCTATGACATACAGCGCTTCTTTAGAGACATAGATAAAGCTATATCGTGGGTGAATGAAAAGTCCATTCCTTTATCCATTGAGGACTGTGGTCGTGATCTTGCCTCAGTCCAAGCCTTACAAAGGAAGCATGCAGCATTAGAAAGGGATTTGACTGCCCCAGATAAAAAGATTGTTCAACTTTGAGATGATGCTAAGGCGCTTGCACAGAAGCATCCTAATTCGCAAGACACTATACAAGGCAAGTATGACGCATTAATTACTGCATGGGATAAGCTGAAAAGTCAGACTGTAGATAGGAGAGATAAACTGGAAGAGTCATTCAAGATGCATCGCTTTTTGGCTGACTGGAGAGACGTGAGTATCTGGATGAATGACATGAAGACGTTAATATTGGCGGATGATTTGGCAAAGGATGTAGCTGGTGCTGAAGCCCAAGTAGAGCGACATAAGGATTACACCGCTGAGATAAATTCTCGAGATGACAGTTTCGATACATGCATGCAAGAAGGTCAGGCATTACTAAGTGTTGGCCATCCCTGTAATGGAGACATAGCTGCTAAACTTTCCACCCTCGAAAGAGAGAGAGCCTCCCTGATGCGGTCGGTCGGTCGGTTTTCGACATAGAACTTTGCACATATGTGCGGCAGTTCAAGTCGCCACAAGTCCCTGATGCAGTTGTGTGAGGAAAGACGTGAACAGCTAGAACAGTGTATGGGCCTTCAGTATTTTTACCGCGACGCTGAACAGTCGGAATCTTGGATTGGCAAGCAAGAGGCCCTCTTAGAAATAAAAGATGTGGGAGACTCACTCGATTCTGTGGAAGCACTTATCAGGAAACATGAAGACTTCGAAAAGTCACCTTTAGCACAAGAAGAAAAGATGCGACAACTTGATGGTTTCGCTGCAAACTTAGTCGAATCAAACCACTATGCGGTTGCACAGGTTCATGAGATTCAAGAAGGTCTCCAAAATAGACGAAATGCATTAAAGGAGAAAGCTCAGAACCGCCGTCAGCGTCTTGAAGATTCCCACCGTTACCAAATGTTCGATAGAGATGCAGATGAAATGCAGTCGTGGATATCAGGAAAACTTAAAAATGCACTTGATGAAAGTTACAAAGAGTCCACGAACTTGCAAACAAAGGTGCAGAAGCATCAGAGTTTTGAGGCAGAAATACAAGCGAACCAATCCCGCGTTGAAGATATTAAAAAGACAGGTCAGGATTTGTTAAGTGCAAACCACTACAACTCGCCAGAAATAAAAGTAAAGATTGGACAGTTGGATGAAACTTGGTCTCATCTCGTAAATGCCATGGGAGACAAGAAGAAAAATTTAGATCAAGCAAGTAGGCAACAACAGTTCGCTCGCAAAGTAGAAGATGTCGAGTTATGGTTGAATGATGTTGAAGCTCATATAGCCTCAGAGGATGTCGGTCATGATCTAAACGGTGTGATGAACGCACAAAAGCGGCACAACTTGCTTGAATCTGATGTAGCTACTCATCGTGAACGTATAGATGCTGACTCGCTTGCTGCAGAAAGTCATTTCGACGCTCCTATTATCCAAGATGAACAAAGACAGTTAGCCCAACGTTACCATGACCTGAAAATCCCTCTAAGTCAACGTCGTGAGAAGTTAAGAGATTCCCTTCCCTCAGACACATCTTTGCAGCTTGAATATGGTGACTATAGTGAGCTGATGAAGTTACTAGTCGATTGTTGTAAAGATTTTAAAGCACATTCGCTTAACCAAATTGAATCAGAAATGTGTCATCAGTATGCTGAAAGCTTCACTACTGGCTCAGTAGCCACTCACAAAGATGCCTTCAGGTTATGGGTTAAAGATAAGAACCCTGTTGTTGAAAAGTATATTGGGTTTATAGAGTCATACCGTGATCCCTTTGGTGTTCGTGCAAGGTTTGAATCATTTGTCGCTGTTGTAAATAGATCAGTGTCTAAAAGATTCCAACGACTTGTGAATAATGCTGAAAGGTTGTTAACAAATTTACCATGGCCTTCTACATTTGAAAAAGTTAATTTCTTACAGCCAGACCTTACTAGTTTGGATGTAGTTACGTTTGAAACTTCTGGAATTCCTGTTGGAACTAATATTCCTAACTATGATGATGTACGACAAGTTGATGGATTTAAAAATGTTTCTCTGGATAATGTACTTAGTGTTCGTTTCGAGGATCCTAAAACAGAATTTCTACGTAACGAAGACAAACAAATGTACGTGGAACATGCTGAAAGTTCCTTTGAATTACAAGTTGGACTTCATGAACTGATGGGATATAGTTCTGGTAAACTGTTTTGGCGTGATTGTTATGGAAAACGAAATTTCCACACGAAAACTACTGAATATGTCATAAATGGAGGTCCTATAAAAGGTTGGTGTGAACCAGGAGAAACGTATGACAGCAAGTTTCCAAACCTTCCATCTGCAATAGATAAGTGTCGAGCTGAGTGCGTTGGAATTTATTTATCTGATTTACCTCTTGTTCTGGAGCAGTTCGGTCTGAATACCGACTGTGCTCAAGGCGATGTCTCAGATGTAGTCTATATTAATTGGTTGTCAATGTCTCCTTCAGCTGTAACTTCCATGGAGATTTATTCTGCAGGAGAAAATGCTGATGACATTGGATCATGGTGTCAAGCACATTATTGTGCTCGTTATGCGATTCTGCAAGTTTTGATTGAAGCTGACGATTCTATGGGACGTACACATAAAGTAGTCGGTGAGGACGATGCATCTGATTTGTGTATTTCCTTACTTCCAAAAAGGCCTTTAACTGCGGCTCGTTCAGCAATTGGTGAATTCTTAAGAAAATTACAATATTACAAAGGTAAAGCGAATGCTATATATGGATATGCTTTCTTCCAACACTATAGTCAACTACTTCCAAAATATTTGACTGATTTGCTCTGGCATAAATGGCTACGTGGATATCTTCTGATGCTGCAAACAAGATCTAAGTGGTTGGATATAAAGCACAACCTACAACCTGATGATCTCGTCTTAGTTAACAGTGCTGACACACAGAGAGGTCTCTGGCGAAAGGCTATAGTTAAGCAGATGTACTATGACCAAGATGGCCACGTCAGGACACTGTGTTTGAAAACTTCAACTCAATAAGTGGAACAAGATATAAGAAGCGTACGAAAGGTCAACGTGGTGATCGTTATCGGGGAGTGTTAATCGCGACAGATAAATAGACTATGTGATAGACAGTTAATCAATATGATGTGACCTTCCTGTCGCGATTATTGGTCAATTTATTGTAACTCTCACCACGTGATGACCTTGAATGTTCTTTTTTGTCTGCCACTCTATTTGTGTATACATGTAATTAATTGACTGTTCATTTTGTCCGTACCCTCAATACTGTTCGGTACGTTTCTGTCCTTTTTTTGTAATGACAGTGGATTTGTACATTTTTCTTGGTGTAATTGTATGGTTTATTTTATGTTTTAGAAACAGATAAAGTTTAAGCCAAGTCATTCTGTTTTAACTATAGTTAAGCCCAGACTCTGTGTCGTCAGTATTGAGGAAGGACTAAATCTGTAGGACAAAAATAATCCTACAATAGAAAAGCTCGAAAATTCATCAGCCATAGGTCTACATGCTATAGAATCAGGCCACAAAACTAATTCTGACAATACTGAAATAATCATCCAGAAAAAGGATTTCGGAAATCACAAAGAACGTGTGATATCATCAGAAGCACTTCACATCAAGTGGAATCCAAATTGTGTGATTAACAGGAATGATGGAGTGAAACAGAATTTGACCTGTTTACGACATACGCACCGTCCTCCATGAAGTGACAAAATCAACACGAATGTGATAAGCAATTTCATTATGTAAACACACACTGCTTTTACGATTTTACACACTTACAAAATCCAACAATCTACACCTGCTTTTGTTATCTTTACCAATTGGCCAACTTGACAACGAAAAATGCCCCCATGCTGAGGAACGATGATTAAGTTGTTACATATATAAGCTGAGATATTGTAAATTCTGGTTTAATAATGCTATTTTGATAAAGCTATTGGCAGCAGCATTAATGCCAATTACATAATTTTGGCATAATTTCAAACCATTTTAACTTACCAATTACTTCTTTCATCTGTCTAACTACCTTTACTGTTTCTCTCATTGTTTTGTTTGTGATTGTTTCTGATGATTTCGTCGTTAGGGTATAGGGTCTAGATTGTATATGTCCATTCATCTTTTTACTACATGTTGTTTTGTTGAGTAGTACCGTTGTGTTTCCTTTGTCTTCTCGAGTAATGACAATAGATTTGTCTGATTTTATGTCTTGAATTGCTTTTAGTTCCTACTTCGTTACATTTAGTTTTTCTGATTTTTGCTTTCTGAATACACAAAAGTGAATGAACAAAAAATGAACTATATATATGAGTACAAATCTTAAATGTGTGAATTAATACAACAAAAGCATTCCAACAGTTAGTGTACACAGGCAGTAATTTTGCTCAAAATAT